GTATTAGAAATCTGGGTTCTGGCTTCCTGACAGCTCCATGGGGCAGATAGGAAGACTCCAGAGAGAATAGCAGTGCAGTGTATCTAGGCCAGTGCTTCTCATGCTGGGATGTGCATGTGAATCACTGGGGCTCTTGTTAAAATGCAGATTCTGACTCACTAGATCTGGAGTGGGACTTGAGAGTCTGCATTTCCAAAAAGTCCCTAGGTGGTCCCAACGCTGCAGGTTCACAAAGTGGCAAAAATAGCATGATTAGAACTCTCGACTGGTTTTCCCAGGATTCTCATATCCAACTCAAGCCACAACCTATTAAACTTGAAGGGTTCCACAGGAAGGGACAATGGACAGTCTTGTGGGGATCCTGTGGGACTGAGGGGCAGATGGATCCCATCTGCCAAGCCTTTTAGGTTAAAAGCAGAGGATAGGCCAAGGCAGGGAATTCCCATGTCAGGGTCCTGACAGGTCACAAATTCCCCACACAAAGGGGGCCCAACCCAACTCAAAACCAGAGGGTAAGAGAACACAACTCTTACCCATCAAAGTGTGCCTCCTGGGTGGGCACACAGCAGCGTGGAGGATGAAGCACAGACAAGGCAGGGGACACATGCAGAAAGCCTAACAGAATCCCCTAAAAATGAGTTAAAATGTTTTGCCAGGCCAGCTGTCTTTGATTGCGTTTATTTGAGCCACTATTATTTGGCAGACTTTTATGTCTCATGGGTCTGGAGACTGGAAGTCCCAGATCAAGGCATTGGTAGATTTGACGTCTGGTGAGGGCCTAGCTCCCACTTCCTGGATGACACTGTGTCCTTACATGATAAAAGGGGTGAGGGGAGCTCTGTGGGGCCTCTTTTAAAGACATTAATTCCATGTGTGGGGACTCCACCCTAAAGACCTAATCACCTCCCAAAGGCCTAGCCTTGGTAAATACCTTCACATAGGGGGTAAGGATTCAATACATGAAATGGGTGGGGGGATGGACATAAAAATGTAATTTATAGTAGCTGCCCAATGGGCGCTTGGCCACAGTCAGAAATTAAGTTGATAGGAAAATAAAAAGACACCAGACTTTGAATCTGAGACTCTTACGCCTTCTAGGTGGGAGCTTACCTGAGTGTCAAGCATCCTCATGAATGATAGATGATTTGCAGCCCCAACAGTGAGCTTTTGGGACAATAGTTGTGATCCTGATGGAGAAAGGACCTGCAGAGAAAAGGTGGACTTTCAGAAGTTGCTGATTTCAGAAACATAATAAGCCACACATGCTTTAAAATGGCCAATGGGTGGAGCATAGGAGGAAGAAAAAAGGAATGCTGATTTTTCTCTGAGCTTCTCAAAAAAATACTTAGGAAGGCAAGAACATGAAAGGTTACCTTTAGAGGCCCACCTCACATCCAGATTTTTTTTTTTTTTTAAACTAAGCTTCTTACTATATTTCTGGGAAATGAAGGGTACAAGTCCAAGGAACTTCAACCCAGGGGAAGGTAGAGATCTGACCTATTTAGAACTTGTCTTATCCACCTTGAAATTTAGTATCTGTTGGAACAACTGTGAGATTTCCCAGTGTCTTTAGTTGGTAAAGGGGAAAGGGAGTGGAGGAAGGAACCTGATGCATTGGGGGAGATTTCAGTAACATCTTGTAGTGCCAGCAAGCACAGGACAAGTTCTCTATCGATTTGGGCAGACAGGTAGAGTTCCAGAGTCCTCAGTGACTTTTTTTCAGGCTTTAATTCTCTTTCTACACCAACTGTTGTGGGGCAAACCCACAGGGAGGCAATGCAGGGAGGGCAGAGGGCCTGGAGGCTGGCAGGCCTCCTAGAACCCAGTGAATCTATACGCTTTTCTCTCATGGTCTCTCCACCACTCTCCGCCACACACCGTCCTCTGTGACATTGCCCTTATATGCCCAGTGTAGGGTAAGGAAAAATGTCAGGCTTTTCTGCCCTCCCACCATCAGGATAGATGATGGATCCTTGCGGTCCTGAATGCATGCCTGATGGCGGGCATCTAGAGTAGGGTGTGGGCCTAGGTAGATGGGATTCACCTGCGCTAAGACTGGGCTTTTTTTTTTTTTTTTTAAGGGCGGCGTCATGGGGATGCCAGTAGAAGTTGACAGAGAAGTCGAGAAAGAAGTCAAGCAGCAGAAACTGAGAGAGAAGCAAGAGAAGCAGAAGCCGAGAGAAGGGCGGAGAGCCCAGAGTGAAGACCTGCTGGGGGCTGGGAGGCCTGCCAGCCTATCGGCCCCCCAGCACCCTTGACTGCTGTGTACCGGGTAAATCCTAATAAAAGACCTGCAAAAACCACTGAGGGCTCTGATTGTTCCTTTACCCGGTCTGCTGGATCATAGAAAACCTGCTCAGTGTCCTGTCCTGACCCTACACCCAGTTTCCAGGCTCAGGTGGAATGTCCACACCATACTCCAGGTGTCCACCATCAGGTAAGCCTACTCCGAGCCCACACTTTCAAAAACCTTTTGTATTCAAGGACTCAGCTTTTGCTAATAAGCCTAAGCTAGCAATAAGCCTAAAAGCCTGTCAGAGACTAGCAGCATAAAAGCCTGACCAATTCACTTACCCTACACACCTTTTCAGACCTGGCTGGAGAGAATAGCTGGAGAGTTCTCAGGCAGTAAACAAAACTGACGGCACTTCACTGTTGTTCTGCAACCATCCCAGGCCAGGTAGGTTTATCATTGGTTCAAGCAGCTTGAAAGAGACTCTTGGAGCCCTTGGCATCATCCTCACAGGTTAAGGGAAACAGGCCAGCAGGGAGACAGCAACTTGGGCCCTGTTGTTACTCTCTATACCCTCTTTTCTCTAGTAACTGTTCTCTGACACTCTCCACCTCTCTCGGCCCCACCGTCCTCTGTCACCAAGCCTTGTATGCCCAGTCTTTCGGCTCAGGCGTACCCACTTATGCTGGCCCAAACTATGCTCCAGGTGCTACCAGCAGGCACGCGTGCAAGACCACAGGTGTCGATCATTTATGCTAATAGCAGGAGGGTAGGAAAAAACCCGATCACTTTCATTTACCCTACAACTGTTCTTTGGGAAACTAGGCAGCGCCCCATTTGCAGGACCCTTGTGAGTCCAAGGGCTCCAGGATTCTTCCTTTACCACTCTTCTCGGATCATAGAAAACCTCCTCTGTGCCTTGCTGGCACTACAGTGAGTTTTTCCAAAAGTTAAACGTTTTCATGGCTGTTTCAGTTTTTTTTTTTTTTTTTCAAACAGGGGTCTTTTGTACTTGATGGTAAATGTCAGGTAACTTTGTGTGAGTGAGCATGTGTTGTAAAATATCTTCGATTGACACATAGGACAGCTTACAGCACAATGCTGTCTCTCAAATTAGGGGAAAAAATGACAAGTCCAGATACCTGCAAACAAGTGCTTTTAATTTTCAGGGAAGACATAGCAAAGTTTCATTTACTGTTTCATAATATAAGAAATTATGACAAAAATCCCCTGTAGTTCTTCTAGATTGACTGAGACAGGCAAACACATAATATCCAGTACTTAAAGGGTTCCCAAAAAAGGGGTGATATTCTCATTTACATGTGGAATGTAAATTGGTGTGACTTGGTTGCTGATGGGTAATTGGCGTTTTATATTACAAATCTTAAAATGTGCAGTAACTTTTTTATTATTTTATTTATACAAGCACTGGGTAGAGTCAGAAGCGCGGGAGGGTGAGTCAGGGCCAGAGCGGGGAACAGAACAGGCAGACTGACGAAGAAATACACTGCTGAGGGGAGCAGCGGGCAGCAGGAGAGGTCTGCGCACCATGTGGGACCCTCGCCCGTCAGCCGGGGATCGAACCGGCGCTGTAGAGGCTGCAGGCAGCTTTGCAACCCAGTGCTCAACCGCTGCGCCACCGGGGAGGCCCTGCGGTAACTTTTGATTCAGCAACCCCTCCAGGAATTTATGCTAAGGGGGAAAAAAAAAAAATCAAAGATGTGCACAAAGATGTATCTAAGAGACCGTTTACTTTAAAAGTGTAATATTGGGCGAGGGAATATTGAGTGCAGTTGGGTGATAGGTAGAGGTCTTCATTATTGTACTCAGTTTCTATTTTTGCTGTAATAAATTACCATATAGTAGCTTAAAACAATGAAACTTCCTGTCTTGCAGTTCTGTATTTCAGAATGTGTCCTGGGTCTCATCTATGCTAAAACTGAGGTGCTGTCTGGACTGTTCCTTCTCGAGACTAGGGGAGAGTCCCTTGCCTTGCCTTTTGCAGGTACAGGAGGCCGCCACATTCCTTGGCTCCTGCCACCTTCCTTCCATCTTCAGTCACACGGCACGTTTCAGACCCTTCTGTCATCACATTTTGTCTTCACTCTTTTGTCTTACACTGTCCTTTAAAGGACTCGTGATTACATTGGGCCTATCCAAGAATCCAGAATAGTTTTCCTAGTTTAAAGTCAGTTGATAAGCGACCTTAATTCCACTTGCGATGTGGCAAGCCTGACAGGGAGCCTCACAGGGAACTAAGCCTTGCAGCGAACCTTTTTGTCTGGCAAGGCAGCATCCGGCAGAGAACTTTGTAACCTTGTAAATTAGAGACACAAGTTATACGAGCCTGTTTTATCATCTCGCTGGCACACATTAATTAACTGCTTAATTAATAATAGATTTTAATCCACAAAAGAACAGCGAGCCGTGGCATCGCCCGGTGTGCCCGCCCGCACAACGAGCCGAGAGCGTGTGGCCTGGCTGCTCCGCCGCGGGGCGGGGAAGTCCACCGCCCTCGCCCGGGACAGCCAGCCCGGCCGCCGGGCTCCTACCCAGCCGGGCGGCTTCAGGTGCACAGCGGCCCCGCGCGCAGCCCTAGTGCCGGCAGCACCCGCCCACAAACCCGCTAGTGGCGGGTAGCTGAGGAGCTCGGATAGGCCAGAGCGTCGCAGCGTCGCAGCGTCGCAGCGTCCGGAGCCGCACCCCCCCCCAACCACCGAGAGGAGCGCCTAGAGCGGCCGGCCAGCCCGCCCCGCGGCGCCGCTCCTCCCGCCGCCTCTATCCCGGAAGTTGATGTCGCGCGGCCGATCGCGTGTAGTTGGCAGGCGGTGTCGCCCTAGAGTTGAGAACACGCTGTCCTCGCTGAAGCACCAACATGCCTGTGAGTTGTTTACTCCCGGGCTTTGGGTTCGTTTTGGGCTTCTCTGTGGGGTGGCCCAGGGAGCGGGTTTACTCCGGTGGCTCCCGGGGTCCGCGGGGCTCCCTGAGGGACGCCGCTCGGTCGCTGAGATCGCGCAGTTCCTTTGCGCGCGGCGGACTCGGGACTTGCCCGGGCTGCGCCCCGTCGGGCCCTGCTTGGGCGTGCGGCGGGGAGGGCCCTGCGGTCTGGGGCCGCGGGCGGGGTTGGGGGGCGGGGGTGCAGCTCCGGCGGTAGCTTAGTCTTCTGGGGTTCCTGTGGGCGCCCACGAGGCGCGGTCCGGGGAGTCCTGTCGCTCTGCTGGCGTTTCGTAGTTCTTGCCCCCTCTGCCTTCTCTAGGAAGCGACTTCCTGCTTGTTTCCTTTTTCAAAAACCGTGTTGACAGTTTTACTTAAAAACTAACTGTGTCAAGCATAATCTCGCCTCCGCCACTCAGTTCTTGTCAGAAACACATACTGCACCCTGGGGGGGGGGGGCAGAAATCACCCCGGTTGCCGTTCTCCTTTCTGCAGCAGCGATTTCTGCTCTCAGTGGGTCCAGGACGGGATTACGTTCTTAGTTAGCACCAATTTTGTTTTGTTTTTTATTGGAGAATGTTACTCAGTTGAGTAAAGAACGAGGTTACCTTACCATATGCTTCCTAATGGTCATAAAACCCCGTTTTCAGGAGAACTCTAAAGCCTCATTAAAACTGTTGATGTGTAGCCTCAGCTGATTATGACATTTCTTTTTTTGCATGTATGTTTCACATGTGGGTAAATCCGCCGGCAGTGTGGTTTCATTCTAGTCATAATAACGTGCTTTTTTAAAATTCAGTTGGCTAGAGATTTGCTTCATCCATCCTTGGAAGAGGAGAAGAAAAAACATAAAAAGAAACGTCTTGTTCAGAGTCCAAATTCTTATTTTATGGATGTAAAATGTCCAGGTAAAATTTCAAATCTTCCTTTTTATAAAATTTCTAAAGGGATTGCTGCTGTGTTCAGATACATTAGGACTCTGTTGAGTAGATGTGGGATTGTAGAATTGGTAATGTTGTAAACGACATTTTCATAATAAATGTATTCAAATCATTTATACCAACATCTGGGGAAGATGTAAGTCCAAAGGAGATATGACATTTGACTTACTAAATCTTTAAGCTGTTCAGATGAATTTTATTTTTCCTGATGCAAAAAAGAGTATGTTGATACTTCAGCATAAAATTGTGCTGTCCAGTCTGGTGGCCATTAACCATATGTTGTTACTGTGCACTTAAAATGTGACCGAGCAACACAGAACTATTCTTTAACTGTAAAATACACACTGGATTTTGAAGCTGTAATATGGAAAAAAAAACAAACGCACCATATTTATTGCATGTTGAAATAATATTTTGGAAATACTGAGTTCAAGCAAATATATTAATTTCATCTCTTGCTTGTTAAATTTCTTTAAAATGTGGCTACTACAAAGTTTAAGTTACATATTTGGCTTGTACTTCACAGTGCTGAAGTTCTTAGTGTTTTATAAGTTCCTTAACTACAAATATGTTGAACACACTGTGTCATCTTCTGCTTTTCACTTTTAACATTGCCCTTTTTTTCAGGTTGCTACAAGATTACCACGGTTTTCAGCCATGCTCAGACAGTGGTTCTTTGTGTAGGTTGTTCAACTGTGTTGTGCCAGCCCACAGGCGGAAAGGCCAGGCTCACAGAAGGTATATCGTTTGGCATTTTGTAAACTAGTGATGAGATTTTATAATTGTTTCTCTTTCTACTATTAAAAACCAGTTTAAAATAAAGGTTAAATTCATGATTACCAAAATTATTTTTTTTCTTTCAAGTGTGCTCTTCCAGCAAAGAGTAATGTGCAATTAGATAAGCTTATATTCTTGACCTTGCAAATAACTTAATGATTATTTTTCTTAATTTGGAACACTTTATTGTATTTAGTCACTTAGTTTGCTTGACTTGGAATATTAAACAAATTAGAATGGAGCAAAAGAATAATTACTACAAACAAGAGGGCACGTGGATTTTGAAAACCACAGGACTACAATTTCTCTTGAAGATATTGTTTCCTATTTGGGACATACATCTTACAATATAATTCTAATTTACTTTTGTGCACTAAGAAAAAAAATAACATGTACATAGTGTTCCATAGTGGTACTCATAGATTTGAAATTTGCTTTTGATCTTTTGAGGAACTGTGAATTCCATGTTGTTCTCACTGGAAGAGTTATATAAATGGATTGGCAACAAATCCAAGTTCTATTTGATAAGACCTGGACAGATCTGAGTATGAAGTCAGCATGCAATATTTAGTACAGTATTCCTTTTAAAAGTTTGCAAGATTTTCAAAACCTTAAGTTATTCCATTAAAGTTTTCAGTTGAATTCATATTCTTAAATATACTTAAATATACTTAAATATTCTTAAATATACTTATTTATATTCTTAAATATACTTCATTATAGCATTTAAGAAGTGGGTGAGAGAGTCACATTAGAGTAAATTCAAATATGAAAGAAACATGGCAAATTCCTGGCAAAAAAAACCCAAATAGCTTATTTATGAATATTAATATTCCTAAATCTTGAGGTTTTTTTTTTAACCTAAAGTGTAATTTTTGACATTAAAACTATTACAAAGAAAAACTGTAACAAAGATAGAATAGACATGTTTAATATATTCTTATGATTCCTTTGCAGGGTGTTCATTTAGAAGAAAGCAACACTAATGAGCAACACAACTTCCTGAATTTGTGTTAAATCGCAGAAAGCCTTACCAGTTCAGTAATTCTAGTTAAACTACCAAAATAATGTAATTATGTTTAATTTTGTAAGGTATACAACAGTGATCTCCTATTTTGGTGTCAGTTTTTAAATAAAGTTTTGATTATGGGCAAATTCTTCTTTTTTCTTTTTTAAAAGGATATGTAAATACACTCGCACTTACATGTACTGTATGTGAATTTGGTTTTAAAAAGTATTTGATTAGTTTGTGTCTCATTTTAAGAGTAGAAACCATATGTATTTGATTTTTCGTCCTTTCCCAAATTGCTTTGATGGAGCTACATTACAAATGGAAAGAAGTCCATTTAAAAAATTTTAAATGTAGTTTTGTTGTTATAACTATGGAAACACATTTATCGAAGTATACATTTAATACTGTAATAATCAGGGCCTACCCGGTGGCGCAGCGGTTGAGCGCTGGGTTGCGAAGCTGCGCGCAGCCTCTGCGGCGCAGGTTCGATCCCCGGCTGCTCCCCGGCCACCGGAGGAGGGTCCCACATGGCGCGCAGACCTCTCCTGCCACCCGCTGCTCCCCTCAGCAGTGTACTTCGGTCCTTCTGCCTGCTCTGCTCCCCGCTCTGGCTCTGGTGAATTCTCTCGCCCTCCCGCGCTTCTGACTGTACCCAGTGCATGTATAAACAAAACAAACAAAGAAACCAGCAAACAAATAAATAAAGCATGCCTCTATAAAAAAAAAAAAAAATACTGTAATAATCAGTGTAAAGCCTTGGATTGGGACAGTAACTGTAGCTGGGGTCTGTGTGACAGGATATTCCTTTTAGGGTAGAAATTGAGAGTAGAAAGATTTACTGGGGATGCTAAATGGTATTGAGTTGTCTGGACCTGACAGGAGAGCACTCCTTACAGAAGTATATTGAGTGGCTCTGGTGTCTCATTGCTTTTAAAGTTTATCAAGTGACCCTGGGAGTTAGGAAGCGGAGTATATCTTTCTCTCTCTGGCTGCTAGCCTAGTGATATTCTTTGTTGGACAGGAAAGATAATTGCTTCTATTTTTTACTTTTAAGGCAGGCACTTAAGGTACATTTCCTACAGAGAGGTGTTTCTATAGAGATACCCCCAACCTGAGAGACTGAGCCTTTAACTACTAGTTAATATATCCGAGGAATGTTGCACAAGAACTGAAAAACTATGGAAAGTTTGGGAGGTTCCCAAACTTGGTTTATGGTGTCTTCAGAGTAATTTTTCACTGTCCTAGGGTCAGAAGAAATACCTAACAGTTACATTTATAACAGGATAGGGTCTAACAACTTTAATAGCCATTTGAAAAATACATAAAAATTAAAAGCAATAATGATTATTTTAATGTCATTCTTAATAATGGAATGAGTATATGCCTATTGGGGACTGCACAATTTATCAAAATGATTAGACTGGATGCATCTATCAGCACTGATTTTTGTATAGTATTTGCTTTTTATCACAGCACTTGGCTTCACAAAGATAAAACATCAAAACTCATGCCATTTGCAGCAACATGGATGGAGCTGGAAGGGATTATGCTCAGTGAAGTAAGTCAGAAGGGAAAAGAAAAATACTGGGATGGTTTCACTTATAGCAGGAACATAGGGAAACCATACAAGGAATCAAGAAAATAAAAGGTCAAAACTAGAGGCAAACTAAATAGGAGACATGGGGGGGTGAAGGAGGGGAGGCAGAGAGATCAAAACGAAGGGAAGAGCACAAGAGACTCATGATGGTTCATGGGTATCTTGGTGGTGGGAATTTTGTGGAAGTTACACAGAGGAGAAATCAACATACAAAAATAAACTATGTAAAAATATATAAATATGGCTTCCCTGGTGGCGCAAGGGGTTAAACACTGTGCTATGAAGCAATCCACAGCCTCTCCAGTGCTTGTTCAATCCCCTGCCAGCCAGGGAGAAACCTACATGGTGAGGCAGACCTCTCCTGTCTCACCCGCTGCTCCCCTCAGCAGTGTGTTTCAGTCAGTCTGCCTGTTCTCTTCCCCATTCTGTCTCTGGTGGATCCTCCCACCCCCCGCATCTCTGGCCTGTACCCCAGCTCTTGTATGTGTAAATAAATAAATCTTTTAATATATATATGTAATAATAAAGATAAGACATCAAAGGGAATGTGGTGACATGTAATTGAACTACCTGGAACTATCGGGTAGTCAGAAAAGTCATGACGCATTTTTGCTTGAAAAATAGAAAAAAATAGGTTATGACTTTTCCGACAACCCAATACATAGAAATTTGCATGGTATCCAAAAGATGGTAACTGTAAGGGTTTCTCTGGAGCCCCAAAGCACCTCCAGCTTACACAGTTTAGAAAGAGAACCAGTGGGGTTGATATAGAAAGAAACAAAACCTGTTGTAAGAACTAATTTAGAGTGCTAATCTGAAAATTTCCTTGGAAATAATTTTAAGTGTCGTACTTAAAAGAACATGTCAGGACTAAATTGCAGAGATCCTTGGCGCAGGAAACTGAGTGATGTATAAGTTTTACTTCATTATTAAACAGTATTAATAGGTTTGAGAAATGCTCACTAGAACCCTAGGTATAGACTTCAAGGTCTGCCATATACATTATTATATACAGTAAAATTGATAATTTACTGATTTTTAGATATAATTCAGGTACTGTGAAATTCAACTTTTTACAATATAAAAACAGTTTTTTGTTTTAAGATTTATTTATTTATTTATTTATTTATACAAGCACTGGGTACAGTCAGAAGTGCGGGAGGGTGAGCGAATTCACCAGAGCCAGAGCGGGGAGCAGAATAGGCAGAAGGACCAAAGTACACTGCTGAGGGGAGCAGCGGGCGGCGGGAGAGGTCTGCGCGCCATGTGGGACCCTCTGCCGGTGGCCAGGGTGCTGCCGGGGATCGAACTGGCGCTGCAGAGGCTGCAGGCAGCTACTCAACCCAGCACTCAACGGCTGCACCACCGTGACTTTAGTATATTCACATGCATATGCAAGCATTACCACCATCAAGTCCCAGACTATCTACAAAAAGTATCCATTTGTACTTACTTCCCCTTCTCCCAGTTGCTGATTACTAATACATTTGTATAGATACACAAATCAAATAGATACAATTTTTATTATTTTCTACCATTCTGTAGGTTATCTTTTCATCTTTGTCCTTAGAAACATAAACATTTGAAAATTTTATTGTCTATATTTTCTTTTGTTTCTTGTACTACTGGTGTCATATCTGGCAAACCACTGCCTAATCCAAATTCATGTAGACTCATGTCTCTTTTCTTCCTATAGTTTTAAAGCATTAGTTCTTACACTTGGATCTGATCCATTTTGAGTTAAGTTTTGCATATGGTATGAGGCCGGGGTCCAACCTCTCTTTTTTTAATGACTTCATAATAGTCCTTACTATGGAAGTACTATGACTTATTCAGCTTTATCCTATTCAGGACTTTGATTATAGTTTTTTTTTTTCCCCTATAATCAATGCTGCCATAATTATATTTAAATAAGTCCTTTAAAATAGTACTTTTATTTCAGAGGGTAATTTCCAGGAGTGGAATGCTGGCTAAAAATGTAAATGTAGGGCCTCCCTGGTGGTGCAGTGGTTGAGCGCTGGTTGCGAAGTTGCCCGCAGCCTCTGCAGCGCGGGTTCTATCCCTGGCTGCTCCCCGGCCACTGGAGGAGGGCCGCCCGCTGCTCCCCTCAGCAGTGTACTTCGGTCCTTCTGCCTGCTCTGCTCCCTGCTCTGGCTCTGGTGAATTCTCTCACCCTCCCAGTGCTTGTATAAATAAATAAATCAATCTTTGAAATAAAAAAAATAAAAAAATAAATGAAAGAGTATACCTTTAAAAAGGTAAATGTATTTTTTATTTTAACAGGTGATCACAGATTGCTTTCCACTAACAATATATGGAAATAGTCTCCCTAGTCTTCATCTCTTCCATTTTTGCCATTTTCATGACTATAAGGTTATCTATTATTGTTATTCTAATTTGTATATCTGATTAGTAAGGAGTTTGGGAGTGGAAAGAATCCAAAATAAGCCAAAAATCCAAAATAAGTTCCTAGAATTCTTTCTCATTTGCTTTTTCTTAACAGGAACACAACAAAATCGCCAATATCAGAAATATAGCTGCAAACAGTTGGAATTTAGTTTCCTGTTGCTTCTATCACAAATTACCATAAACTTAGTGGCACAAATTATAAGCATAAATTTATTATTTTGCAGTTCTTCTTTATTATTTTGCAGATACCTGTTTCTTCCAGAACAGGTGTCTTGTGGCTAAAATAAAGGTATTAGTGGGACTACATTCCTTCTGGAGGATGTAGGGAAAATCTGTTTCCTAGTCTTTTCTAGCTCCTTGTTATTGCCCGCATTCCTTAGTTCATAGCGCCCTATCACTGACTTCTACTTCTGCCATGACATCTCTGACTCTGAGCTCCCACCTTCCTCTTAGAAGGAGCCTAATGATTGTACTGAGCCCACCCATGTAATTCAGAATGATGTCCCTACCTCAAGAACCATGATTTAAATATAGCTATAAAGGCTCTTTTGCCATGTAAGGTTATACATTCATAGATTCTGGGGATTAGGATGAACATCCTAGGGGGCTATTATTCTATCACAGAATGCAATGTTATAAAATGCTACCCCAGATTTGAAAGCTCAAACTCTGGAAAAAGATTAAATTGCTATCTGAAATAGTTAGAGTTCATTATTACACTTTACAAAGAAATGGATTACTTTTATAGAATAATGATCCCACTCTGTATGTAACCTTTTAGGATTTCACAGCTATATTTTCACAAGTATATGAATAAAGAATTATATCAAGTTATGGTATTTCCTGTTCATCGAAGCTTAAATAACTTGGATCTTGTTTTTAAGGGGATGCCACATTACCTCACTTTTTTTCTTTTAAAAAAGTATTTTACTGATACACTATTGGTTTAAATTTCAGTATTTTGAAAGTATAGGTCCTTCCCTTTCAGGGGTAGTCACCTTAATTCACCCATCACCAAAGAACCCATGGTCCTTCACCATAATCTATTATGGTGAATCTATTCTCTCTCCTTATCCTGTTATTTCAAGGGTTGATTTAAAAGTCTGTTTTTGTCTGATCCTTTGTTTTTTTCACATG